AGGGAAGGTAAGGAGGGATGGAGGGAGGAGAGGAAGGGGCAGAGGGAGGGAGGGAGGGAATAGCAGGGAACTTCTGAAGCTCTGGGTTCCTGTGTGGGAGACAGGAGTCTTGGGGAGGAAGACAGAAGGTAGGACTCCATCCCAAAGTATTTAGCTGTTTTAAAGGCAGCATCACCAGGGCAACTTTGGGTAGGAAAGAAATCTAGCAGCACGGTTAAAGAAGACATAGCACAAGGGGAAGAGAACGCTCTCAGGCAGGTCAAGTAAGAACGCAGTCAGCATCAGGTCAGAGAGATGAGGAAGCCCTAAAGCAGTAAGAGCTGGCTGGCTTGCATCAGGCTTGGGAAGGAGGCAGCAGGGACGGCTTTCTGCATTGGGCAATAGAACAGCAAGGAGAGGCAGTCAGAGGCGAGTGGACAGAACCGAGCCGGAAGTCTCGGTCTTGGAGTTTGATTGCCTGTGGACCGTCCAGGAAGCCAGGTTGTAAAGATAGCTGGGACGTGAGACTGTTACCATAAATAGAGGGGTGGTCTATGGCTGAAACAGCATAGCAGTGGCATTCTGGAAAGAGTTTACAGGTCTCTGCTCTTCCCCCATTGTTCTCAGCAACAGGATAGCTCATAAAACCAGGAAGACGGTGGACCAGGGCCCTCTGTCCAAATTGCACCCATATTATTATTCCACCAGAGGCAATCTCATTTATGATGATGAGTTTTATTTGAGGCAAATAATATTTTATGAAGCAGCTTCTAAAATAAATTCTCCAGCTTTGATGTTCTCTTGTATTTCCATACCAAGGACTCGGTTTTGATGTGTGCTTCGGATTAGATAAAGAGGAAATGTAAGGAAATTGTAGCAGTGTCATCTTTCAGATTATGACAGTTTGAGGGCTCAAAGCAATTTATCATGTGAAGAACTCCCTTTTCAAACAAACAAAAATGAATCCATGAAGAGTGACAGGACAAAGGTAAAGGCTGGGGGACAAAAGTGTTTGCCATGCAAGCACAAGGTTGTGAGTTTGGATGCCCACATAAAGGTCAGACATGGTGGCACACATCTGTATCCTCAGACCCTCCCCGCAGGGCACATGATGAGCAGAAACAGGAGGATCCCGGCAGCTCATTAGTCAGCTAGTCTAGCCAAACTGATGAGCTTCAGGTTGAGTGACAGGCGCTGTCTCAAAAAATAAGATGGAGAGTGATCATGGAAGGCATCTGATGTCAGCCTCTGGTCTCCACATATGTGCATGCATGCACGCACGCACGCATGCACGCACGAGTGGCCAGAGCAATGTTTAGTAGCAACAGGCCACCAAAACATTGCTTCACCTCAACTCCTCTCTGTTGGTGACAAGACCACAGATAAAGTTTCAGATCCTGTATCGTTGGTACGATGTATTTGTTAAAAGATGAGGGGGTGGGGGGCGGGGGGGAGATTGCACAGTTTTCTTAGTAATGGTTCAAAAGGGAGTTTCCATAACAAATATATAATTACTACATGGAAATAGCCACATTACTGGACAGGAAGCCCCAGCCCAAGGGGACAAAAAAGCCCCCAAAACATAGTTTTCCATTTGAACATTGCTTCATTGAGAGACTAAAGTGGTAAGAAAGTAGATTGAGTAATTCTAGATGACAGACAGGCTCTCCTGTTCGAGCACGAATGTGCTAGCTCTTTAAGGAGAAGCTATAGTGTATGAACCAGCTCTCCTTATGCAACTTATTTTTTTTCCTGAATAAGAAACAAAGTAAAGAAGTAGTGGAAGAAACAAACAGCTGTCCATCATCACGGCTGGCAAAAGCAGGATCCTCCCTAATTCCTCGCCAGTGTTCCAGCCAGGCTCAGGGATCTAAGACTTTTGAAAGCTTCCTAAAACTGTGCACTAAATGTTATTAGGACATGTGCATTCCTCGTATGCTATCAACTGTTATGGTCAGGGTACCCCCTGGGATTTCCAGGTTCTTGTGTCTCAGAACGAAGAATTGGACCGGGCACACACGGATAGTGAGAGAAATAAAGACGTTTGTTAAGACCAAGAACACTCAGGCCAGAGAACTGGGAAAGGCCCGAAGCTCTAATTGATGAGCGTTTGTGGGGCACTCACATGGCACATACCTTCTCTGTGATGGGGATTCATGGAGGGCAGCTGGGCACTTGGTGAGCTCAAGCCAGAGAGTTAGGATGCTGGGTAACCCATCTCTGGTCAACAGGGCCACCCCAAGCCAGTGGTATCCATGTTCTTTGTTCCATACCACCACCACCACCACCACCACCACCACCCCCCCACACAAAAAGAATACGGGAAGGCAGGTGAGCAGAGCAAACTTAGATATTAAGGAAAAGTGAAAACGAACTCCCCAGAGTGGGTGGAACTTGGAGGGAGGAATCAAGGCCATGCTGCCCTGCAAAATGATCTTTTCTGGGAGCTAGCTGCTGTCTCAAGCTTAGAGACTGGAGTTTTTCTCCCTTGCATGCTCTGCCCCTCACATGTAGGCCTGGTGGAGAGGGGTTTTCAGTTCCTCTTCCATCAGTTAATCCCGGTGCCTCTCCCCATGCCGGACTTCCTGCCACACAATCACCTTCTCCCAAAATCTCCCCCCAACATCTCCAGAC